GTTCGCTGCGTTTTATACAACAGTGTTATTATAATTAATAAATAATAAGAATAAAATATAATGATTAAAAAATTTTTTTTGACTTTTGAAAATCAAACATTTGAGTATTTTCTAGAAAAATTCTGAGATTAATCTACAGATTTCAGTTTCTTTAAAGTTAAAATTTCATAAGTTTTCTAACAAATTTCTGATCTTTGAAAGTCAGAAATTTGCTGGATTTTCTCAGAAATCAATCTCAAAATTTTAGATTCTTTCTGTGGTAATTTGCTCAGTTTATATCTAGAATACGCCATTGTAGTTTTCACTATTTGTGGTATTTTTCCCCTCCTATTTTTATGCAGTTTTACTGATTTGACATTTTTCTTCCTTTTGTTTTGCAGTTTGAATCCTTCATGTTTGCAGCTCGTTTGGCCGTTTGCTGCATGTTTGCACCGTCTGCTGTATAATCCATGTAAACACTAAGAATCACCAACTGGACCCGGGTCAGCATCAGCACTGACGGTGCTCTCACTGTCCCTCCCCTCCGGCCCGTTTTCAGTTGTTTTCAGTCCAAACGTTCAGAGCACAAGGTTTTCTACGTGTACAGACGTTTTCTAGAAGGTTCTGTAGCTTCTCTGTCCGTCTGTGTTGTTGTTGCTGTTATTTTGCACTCGGTGTGGAAATAAAACAAACCTTCTGCATCACGACGCCGTCAGAGACTGCAACTCCCAGCATGCTTAGCGCTCAGCTCAGCCTTTATTAGAGAACAGGTGAGCACTGTAAAATCATTTATTGATCCAGTTTGATTATTAATCAGCAGCCTTATAGAAGATCAGAAGACTCCGCCTCTTGCAGGTCACCCGCTGAATGCGTTTGATGGTCGACCTTTGACCCCGAGCCCTGTCACCTGCACACACAGACACAGCGCAGGTCAAAGCAGGCCTCCGACAGGTGAGGGAGGGGCGGGGGGCGGGGCTCTCACCCTGAAGGTGTTCCCGGCCGCCGGCTGCTTCTGGAGCTCTGATTGGTCCAGACCCAGGCTGGCCGAGGTCACGTAGAGGTCAGAGTAGTCTGGGCCGCCGAAGCAACAGGAAGTGGTCTTTGTGGCGGGCAGAGACACCGTCTGCAGGCGTTTACCTGAGAGGAGAGGAACAGCCAGTTTAACCAGTTAACTGGGTTTACTGGGTTTACTGGGTCGGCTCCTGCTGAATAATCTGCTGTAATCTGGAGAGATCAAAGTTGTGCTCAGAAATCGTTTAATGGCTGAAAGTCCAACAGCTTGAACTTGATGAACGGATCCGTCCGGTTCTGTTCGACCCGCCATATTAAGAGTTTTTCAAAGAAACGAGTTTCTGCTGACAAACGATCAAATCCGTCCATCATGTTCAGCTAAACACAGAAACGTCTAAAACCATTTTTACTTCTGAATGAACTAAGAAACAACTTAAACATTTAAAACAAACAGGACTTGCACCTGGGTGTGCGCTTGACCTTTGGCCCCGAGTCAGGGGTCGACTCGACTATAGCCAATAGTTTTTGTTATTTTTCTTTCAAAATATGAAGCAAATGTTGAAATGACATTTGCCAGTCCTCCCAGTCTGACTGACCAGTCCTCCCAGTCTGACTGACCAGTCCTCCCAGTCTGACTGACCAGTCCTCCCAGTCTGACTGACCAGTCCTCCCAGTCTGACTGACCAGTCCTCCCAGTCTGACTGACCAGTCGCGGGGTCGATGTTGAGGACCCGTCCTCCATCGTAGCACGCCACCCAGAGGCGGCCGTTGGCGTCCAGGGTCATCCCGTCGGGAACGCCCTCCCCCTCCGCCAACCGGTACACCACCCGGCGGTTACCTAGGCGACGGACAAACACAGGAAGCTTGGCAGCGGAGCGGGCGGAGGCTGCGGGCGGAGGCTGCGGGCGGAGGCTGCGGGCGGAGGCTGCGGGCGGAGGCTGCGGGCGGAGGCTGCGGGGCGGAGGCTGCGGGCGTTGCCGCGGTTACGGGTGGGGTTACCCAGGTTTCAGAGGCCGAGTCGTAATCGAAGGCGTCGACGCTCATCGCCAGGCTGTCGATGTAGAAGAGTCTTCAGGTCCGCAGTCCAGTCCATCCCGTTGGATGTCCACCTGCCAGGTGAGGGACAGGTGAGGCCCCGCCCACCAGCTGCAGGTACGCAGACTGACTGTAGGGGGCGCCGCCAGGTGAGCCTACCTGGCCCAGCAGCTTGGTGACAGACAGGTCAGATTTCATCAGGTACAAAGATCCCGGTTTCACCTGAGCGGTCTGAGCGTCCCTCCTCATCGTCCCTGAGGGAGGAAGAACATCGCCATGGTTACGGCTGACCAGGTGAGTCAGCAGCCGACAGGTGTGCTGTACCTGCCAGCAGCCGTCCCATCGGATCGGCCTTCCCGTCGTTCAGACGGTTCTCTGGTTTGTCGTCTTCGATGCTGGCCAGTGATGTCACCTTCTGAGTCGACCAATCAACAGCCACGATGCTGCAGCCCACGCCTGCGACGTAACCGCCGGATCGGCGAGGGACCGCGAATCCCACCGTGTCAGCTGAGGAAGAGGAGCAGAGCTGTGACGAGCGGCCAGGTGAGGCAGCCTCAGGTGACGAGGACACGCCCACCTGTCTGCAGAGACTGGATCTGATTGGTCGCTGCGTTTCCAGCGGTGGATTTTCTGTCCTGCGATGTCGACGAACAGCAGCGTCTGCTCTGACTCCTCCCACACCGGCCCCTCACCGATCTGAGCGTGCTCCTTCACCACGGACTCCACCTTCACCGACGACATCTCACCTGTCTGCTGGAGCCAATCACTGAGCAGGAGCGCCAACCGGGCTGTTTCTATGGAAACCAGCAGAGGTAGAGTCACAGCTAGAAAATGAAACAAAAAATGTTCTCAAAGTTTTCTGCTTTTAGCAAACAGAAATAGTTTTAGGATTCCTAACAGGCATAAAACGAGAAGTTTATAACTTCAGGCGGGGAATTTTCTAGAAAAACAAGTAAATTTCTGAGATCCACAAGTCAAAAAAGTCCAGAAAAATCGAAAGATTTTGATATAAAACTTCTCCACTTGAAAAAAGAATCCCAATATTTCCAGAAGTCAGAATCGCTCAACTTTTCAAACTCAAAATTTTTAAATTTTGTTTGTTGTTTTGCAAGTTTTTGACTTTTGGAGCTCAGAGAATTTACAAGTCAAAAACTTTAGACAATACAAGGTCAGAAAGTTTCACTTTCTGCAAGAAAATATTTGAAATCTGGAGATTTGAATTTTTTTAACAAAATTTTGACTTTTCAAACTTTTAAATTTGCAAGGTTTTTCTAGAAAATTGCTGAATTTTGTGATGTAAATGTATTTTTTCTTTCTAGCTTCAATCCAGCAATGTAGTACTATTAATGTACTGTAGTAGTACATTAATAATATTCTATTAATAGTACTCTATTAATGTACTACTACAGGATGCTGTACGTGATGTCACTGTAATACCACAGATAAAAATACCTAGAATTATTTAAAACTAAATAAAGACTGAATATGTATTTTGAAATTAATGTATTTTTAGAAATATGACATTTATTTTTCATAGTATTTATTGAATTTTGGCCCTTTGGGCCTCCATACTAGAATAGATACACGGCGTGTGAAGTACCGCGGTCCGGTAGGACGTACTGCGGTACCATCAGACAGCAGAACCATCAGAGCCGAAAGGTTAAAGGTTAACCAGACGCTGACTCAGCGCTTTCTGATGTGGTCCAGCTCCAGGGTTCTGGTTCTGACTCGGTTCTGTTTTCACTGGTTCCGTTCCTTCCGCTTCTAACTTCCGGAGGCGGAAGTGGACTCGCTGCTGTGAGCTGAGCCGGTCCGGGTCGAATCGGAACACGAGGCTGACCAGTGTCTCCCGTTTCCGAGCTGCGCCTGAACGCATCATGAAACTCTGCAGAAGTCGTCTGGAACTGAACTGGACTCAGAACCGGACCAGAACCTCGTCTCTGGTGCTGATTAGATCACGTGGTGCTCTGAGCCCGGTTCGGAACTAGTCGGTCATGCACCTGAACACCTGGACCCAAACGAAACCACCTACCTGCTGCAGAACTTCGGAGTTCCCTGCAGAACTTCTGGCCGAACCGAGCCTTTTTTATGTCTCCTGATCCAGGCCACGCCCCCACTCCGCCCCGAACCGAACCGCCCCTGGCTGGATCCTCTCCATCATCCTGGCCTCGGCCCAAATCAGCGCTGGGTTCTGGACCCAGTCCAGCTTAAATGACTAATCAACCAATCAGAGCCCAGATTTAGGTCTGCTGGGTTCGGTTCTGCTACGAGCAAAGAGCCTGGGATCACATGACCCAGCATCGGGCTGAACGGAACCCAGAGTTAGAAAACAATAGAATATCCCTGAAATTCGGTTCTGGAGTGGTTTTGTGGGTCTCATTAATTAATCCCTGAGGACCAGCAGGGGGCGCCGCGTCCACATCTACAGGGTCGGTTCTGACCCGGACTCCAGTTTAAACCCCAGAACTGGTTCCGTCCAACACAAAGTCCACAAATAGTTAGCAGCAGCAGCTAACTAAACGTGTAGCTGGTTAGAAAGGTAAACGTTAGCTTCTCATTAAATATTTAGCTCCAAAATATTACATGTTACATGCGGTTAGCCGGCTAACGTTTATCTCTACGCTAGCTAAATATTTAGTAGCTAAATATTTGGTTTGTAGGTAAATATTTGGTTGGTTAATCAAATTTTTAGCCATTTTTTAATCTTATGACAAACTAACCGAAATTGTTGCTGTTAATTCTTGACTAACTAACAAAGCACTTGGTGACAGCATCATGCTGTGGGAAGACGAGCACAGAGCCAGACACGTTATGTTCAAAGCAGATTCATGGGATAGAGTGGCCTAGTCAAAGTCTGAAGACAGCAGAAAACAGGCCACAAATGGAACAATGGGTCGGAAACAGAAGCATTTATTTAGCAGACTGTGTTAGCGCTGCTAGCTGCAGGAATGGGGTGTGACTGGGCTCCAATCGGGTCACTTATTGGCCCGGATTGGGTCACTTCTTGGCCGGATCGGGTCACTCTTGGCAGTGGCGACCCGAGCCCGGTTCAACTTGTCCATCAGCAGCCGGTCGGAGGCGGAGCATCTGGAGAGGACCGCCCCCATCTCAGACTCATTCCTGCGCTCAATGGCGGCGTCTGCTGCTCCATCTAGGTCGCTGACAGCCAGAGAAGAAGAAGAGTGAGCAGTGGGCGGGGCTCTGCTGTGTGATGATGTCACAGGTGTGGTCTTACCCCACAGCCAGGTGAGCTTTGACCTTCTGCTCAGGTGTGACCTTGCTGACGTACTTCTTGGCTTCATGTCTGTTGTTGTTCTTCATGCACACCTCCACGAAGGCCTGAGGGCAGGCAGGCAGCAAAGAATCATGGGAAATGCAGTTCACAGTTAAAGCGGGCAGGTAAGGGGCAGGGTTTCTCTCACCAGGTAGCCAATAGGAGACTTCTTGCTCTTGGAGAACTTCTCTAGCTCCTCCCACTGCTCCTTCTCAGCCAGAGACTTCAGCTTCAGCCACCAGTACCTGAGCAGGTGAGACAGGAAGTGAGTCACCTCCAAAATGAAATATTTCTATCAATCCAGCCAATCACAGCCCAGCCTGCCGTAACATCGCACCTTTTGTCCGGCACTCTGAAGTCTCTGTAGAGCTGCTCTGCTTGCTTGTGGAGACCAACGACATCAGAGCCTCCATGGTGGCCTGCACAGGAAGTGACATCACTCAGTAACGCCAAGCTGGTCTCTGGTCGCCTGTGTTTACAGATACCTGTAGGGAGAGTCCCAGAAGCCCCGCCCCCTTCTCCTCATCCAGCTTCCTTTGGAAACGAAGGAGACGCATTTCCTCCTCCGTGGCCTGAAGGACAGGAGACATCAGAGACCGTCCACACCTGGTGGACATACCTGGTGTACAGGTGAGACCGTTACCTTGGCAGCGAAGTCGTTCTTGGCCTTGTTGTACTCGTCCACGGCGCTCTGCAGCTGTGCCAGCCGGCCCTCCAGTCTCTGGATAAAGACAGCAGGGACAGGTGAGGATGTGGACAGTCGTCCACCTACCTGTCCAGGTGGGAGCGGCTCACCTTGTCCCTGTAGCTGGACGTCACGTAGAAGTTGCCGAGCTCCTGGTGGTCGTCGTCCTGGTTGAACAGGTCCTTCAGCGTCTGAGGCTCCTGCAGTTTGCAGAACTGAAGACACAGAGGACACGTCACTCGTCTCAATGGTAACCAACAGGAAACGCCTGCCTGGACTTTGTTTACATTTAGTGATTCTGGGAGATTTTTTGTCTTTCAGATGGTTATGGCTTCCTGTCAGGACCTTTGACCTCCAGTCTCTCCAGTGGAGGTCAGGCGGCCCAGGTGAGCTCACCTGTCTGTAGAGGCTGAGCGCCACCGGCTGGTTCCTCAGTGTCATGAAGAAATCTCCTCTGTTCATCTCGTTTTTCAGGTACGTCACCACCGTGTAAACTGGACGCACACACACACACACACACACACACAGGTCAGCAGGCTCCGCCCCCAGTCTGCAGGCTGGGGGCGGAGCCTGATGACTCACCCAGGTCGGTGTCGCCGCTCTCCACGGCTTTACTGAGAGCGAGCTGGCTCCTCTTCATCTTCAGCAGCAGAGGAACCTGCTCCCCGGACCGGGCCTCGAAGTCCAGCAGCTGCAGGCAGAGGAAGAGGTTACTACGGACCGCATGAAGAGCCGCTGAGGTCTGAACCCTACAGAGCAGCAGCAGCGTACCTTGATGGCCAGCTCTGGCCGTCCACATTCATAGGCTTTAGCCGCGATGTCCGAGTACGAAACTCCAGGTGAGTCTCCCACCTTGGCGCAGACGGCTCGGGCTATGGCCTCATCGGTCAGGTCCTTCTGCTGCACCTGGACACATACGCACACACACACGTATGAGGGGACAGTTGGAGACAGGTGGGGACAGGTGGGGACAAGCAGAGTTACCTTGCAGGAGGCCCAGTGTTTCAGGACTCGACTGACTCCCTGGTAGTCTGGGATCTTCAAGTAGCGACAGACCTCGATGGCCAGAGGGTAGAACTGCCGGTAGACCAGCCTGAGGGACAACAGGAGACACTGAGGGGGACGAGCTGGACGCGGGTCAGAGGGGTCGGGGTCGCCAGATCTGTCCTGTTTGATCCAGTTTCTCTCCTCTGTTTTTACTTTGTTTATCACTTTAATGAACAGTGGTTAAACCTTAATCTGATGCTGTGACTCAGCAAGTTGTTGCTAGGCAACCAAAGAGCGAGTGAGTTTGTTGATTCCACCAACCTAGCTTAACGGCTAATGTTTCCTTTGCCTAATCCCCCAGAATGCTGTGCGGTTCGTCCTCAGTATCTCTTTTAAAAATGTTTCTCTAAAATCACCAAATGTTGTGAAAAGCAGCTCAAGTTTCAACAATGAGCCAATCTGGCAACAGGTGGGGGAAGGACTCACCTGTCTATCAGGACCTGAAGGGTCATCTGTTTAAATCTGAGGTCAGAGGTTAAGGAGCATCTCACATATATCTAATATGAACCATGTAAAAGTTTAAATATCCAAAACTAAAGGAAATAGAAGCAGCAACTCATTAAAACAAAAACAATCAAAACAGATTTGAAAAGAAGGAACTTTAGATTCAGAACGATGGACAGACGTCCGATAAAACAACATCAATTCTCCATTTGAATGAAATCATAGTTATCTCCCCAGAACTCCACCTCCCATGATGCACCAGGGCAGGATACTGAGTGTGTGTGAGCGGCATCCCCACGCTGCTCTCTCTGACAGCGTTCAGAACCCGCAGCTCCCTGCAGGTCGTCACAAACTGATCCGGGCTGAACTCCGTCAGGAAGCACTTCCCGAAGGACGCCGCCTGGCGGATAGACGCCGCGTCAGTCAGTCAGTCAATCAGTCAATCAATCAATCAATCAATGAAGTTCATGCATATAGAGTGATCTCAGCTTCTGTCCCATGATTGGATGGTTCTGTGGTTCTGGTTCTGCCTGTGGTTCTGGTGACCTCACCCTCATCAGGGCCTTCTGGGTGTCGGGGTCGTACTCGTGAGCGGCCGCCTCCACACACTGCCGGACGGCGTCTCCCAGGACGTTCTGCTCCTTGATCTCCCTCAGGTACTCGTCCGCCTTCTGACTGGACTTCTGCTCAGACAGGAGGGATCAGAACCGCGGGTCTGGGTCGCCGGCAGCAGCCCCAGCGCTCCCAGTGTGACCAGTATACCTCGTACTCCCGGTGGGCCTCCAGCAGCAGCGCTCCAGGAGCCATGGAGGCGATCTTAAAGATGTCCTGGCAGACCAGAGGAACCTCCTGCAGCAGCTCCTGGCTGCTGGAGCCGATGATCCGAACCCCGTCCAGCTCGCCCACCAGCACCGACTGGTCCTCCAGGGGGAACCTGGCTCAGGGTCAAGGGTCAACCACTCTAACAATCTGCCCCAGGTCCAGTCTGATCTCAGCTCAAGGATACTGGATGGTGTCGTTACAAGATCCCACCACCAGGAGGAGCCGGTCCCACATCAACACCACCGAGGGCTGCTGGGACCTCGGCCTGCGGCACCTGGACAGGTAGATGGGTTCAAAGGTCAACGGACACACAGGTGCAGAAGTAGAGAGGTCAATTGATAGACAGGTCCAAAGGTCAACGTACCAGACCATCTGTTTGGGCGTAGCTGCCTGCTTGGTGTCCACCTCACTCAGTCTCTCCTGCAGACAACAGAAACCTGTCAGACCCCATGCAGGTGTGGCCCCGCCCCCTGACAGAGCAGCCTGCTCACCTGTAGGTTGGACAAGCCGGTCCAGAGCCGTCCCGTCTCAGTGAACAGAGCCAGGTATTTGTAGCTGAAGGAGACAGACATGTGGACGATGCTGCCAGCCTGAGGACTGAGACCTGGAGGATACTGAGGACAGACTGGTGGTGAGACAGGTGAGAGTCCTCAGCTCACCTCTCTGTCTGCGGAGCAGAGAGCCTACCACAGCCGTGCAGGACGTGTTGTCCAGAACATAGAGTTCAGGTCCACTGGACACCAGGACTTTGGTCTGTCTGTCCTGAGTGAGGACGGCCCAGCAGGACGGCTTGCCCTGGAGACCTGAGGGGACAGAAACAGGTGGGGGACGGGCAGAGGACGCCCGGATGCGCTGTCCTCAAGCCGTCCTTACCTGGGACCTCAGGTAGCCTGCGCAGCTTCAAGTCCTCGATGTTGGTTGCCAGGGTGAAGCGGGAGGAACCCGTTACTATGGCGACACCTGTTCCATATGGCGAGTGGAAAACCTTGGCCTCCAACACCTGAGACTGGACCACTTCCTGTTTGAGACCAAGACAACCAGTGGACACCACGTCTCTGACTGGACCACTTCCTGTTTGAGACCAAGACAACCAGTGGACACCACGTCTCTGACTGGACCACTTCCTGTTTGAGACCAAGACAACCAGTGGACACCACGTCTCTGACCGGACCCACCTGTCCCACAACACGTCTCTGACCGGACCCACCTGGACCCACCTGTCCCACAACACGTCTCTGACTGGACCCACCTGGACCCACCTGTCCCACAACACGTCTCTGACCGGACCCACCTGGACCCACCTGTCCCACACCACGTCTCTGACCGGACCCACCTGTCCCACACCACGTCTCTGACCGGACCCACCTGTCCCACACCACGTCTCTGACCGGACCCACCTGTCCCACACCACGTCTCTGACCGGACCCACCTGTCCCACACCACGTCTCTGACCGGACCCACCTGTCCCACACCACGTCTCTGACCGGACCCACCTGTCCCACACCACGTCTCTGACGGACCCACCTGTCCCACACCATGACTCTGACTGGACCCACCTGTCCCACAACACGTCTCTGACTGGACCCACCTGTCCCACACCACGTCTCTGACCGGACCCACCTGTCCCACACCACGTCTCTGACCGGACCCACCTGGACCCACCTGTCCCACAACACGTCTCTGACTGGACCCACCTGTCCCAAACACGTCTCTGACTGGACCCACCTGGACCCACCTGTCCCACAACACGTCTCTGACCGGACCCACCTGGACCCACCTGTCCCACACCACGTCTCTGACCGGACCCACCTGTCCCACAACACGTCTCTGACCGGACCCACCTGGACCCACCTGTCCCACAACACGTCTCTGACTGGACCCACCTGTCCCACAACACGTCTCTGACTGGACCCACCTGGACCCACCTGTCCCACAACACGTCTCTGACCGGACCCACCTGGACCCACCTGTCCCACACCACGTCTCTGACCGGACCCACCTGGACCCACCTGTCCCACACCATGACTCTGACTGGACCCACCTGGACCCACCTGTCCCACACCACGTCTCTGACCGGACCCACCTGTCCCACACCACGTCTCTGACCGGACCCACCTGTCCCACACCACGTCTCTGACCGGACCCACCTGTCCCACACCACGTCTCTGACCGGACCCACCTGTCCCACACCACGTCTCTGACCGGACCCACCTGGACCCACCTGTCCCACACCATGACTCTGACTGGACCCACCTGTCCCACAACACGTCTCTGACTGGACCCACCTGTCCCACACCACGTCTCTGACCGGACCCACCTGTCCCACACCACGTCTCTGACCGGACCCACCTGTCCCACACCACGTCTCTGACCGGACCCACCTGGACCCACCTGTCCCACCTGTCCCACACCATGACTCTGACTGGACCCACCTGGACCCACCTGTCCCACACCACGACTCTGACTGGACCCACCTGTCCCACACCACGTCTCTGACCGGACCCACCTGTCCCACACCATGACTCTGACTGGACCCACCTGGACCCACCTGTCCCACACCACGTCTCTGACCGGACCCACCTGTCCCACAACACGTCTCTGACTGGACCCACCTGTCCCACACCACGTCTCTGACCGGACCCACCTGTCCCACACGTCTCTGACTGGACCCACCTGTCCCACCTGTCCCACACCACGTCTCTGACCGGACCCACCTGGACCCACCTGTCCCACAACACGTCTCTGACTGGACCCACCTGTCCCACAACACGTCTCTGACTGGACCCACCTGTCCCACACCACGTCTCTGACCGGACCCACCTGTCCCACACCACGTCTCTGACCGGACCCACCTGTCCCACACCACGTCTCTGACCGGACCCACCTGTCCCACAACACGTCTCTGACTGGACCCACCTGTCCCAAACACGTCTCTGACTGGACCCACAAACGACTCTGACTGGACCCACCTGTCCCACACCACGTCTCTGACCGGACCCACCTGGACCCACCTGTCCCACAACACGTCTCTGACTGGACCCACCTGTCCCACAACACGTCTCTGACTGGACCCACCTGTCCCACAACACGTCTCTGACTGGACCCACCTGTCCCACACCACGTCTCTGACCGGACCCACCTGTCCCACACCACGTCTCTGACTGGACCCACCTGTCCCACAACACGTCTCTGACTGGACCCACCTGTCCCACAACACGTCTCTGACTGGACCCACCTGTCCACAACACGTCTCTGACTGGACCCACCTGTCCCACAACACGTCTCTGACTGGACCCACCTGTCCCACAACACGTCTCTGACTGGACCCACCTGTCCCACACCACGTCTCTGACCGGACCCACCTGTCCCACACCACGTCTCTGACTGGACCCACCTGTCCCACAACACGTCTCTGACTGGACCCACCTGTCCCACAACACGTCTCTGACTGGACCCACCTGTCCCACACCACGTCTCTGACCGGACCCACCTGTCCCACAACACGTCTCTGACCGGACCCACCTGTCCCACAACACGTCTCTGACTGGACCCACCTGTCCCACAACACGTCTCTGACTGGACCCACCTGTCCCACACCACGTCTCTGACCGGACCCACCTGTCCCACACCACGTCTCTGACCGGACCCACCTGTCCCACAACACGTCTCTGACTGGACCCACCTGTCCCACAACACGTCTCTGACTGGACCCACAACACGACTCTGACTGGACCCACCTGTCCCACACCACGTTTCTGACCGGACCCACCTGTCCCACACCACGTCTCTGACTGGACCCACCTGTCCCACAACACGTCTCTGACTGGACCCACCTGTCCCACAACACGTCTCTGACTGGACCCACCTGTCCCACAACACGTCTCTGACCGGACCCACCTGGACCCACCTGTCCCACAACACGTCTCTGACTGGACCCCCTGTCCCACCTGTCCCACACCACGTCTCTGACTGGACCCACCTGTCCCACCTGTCCCACAACACGTCTCTGACTGGACCCACCTGTCCCACAACACGTCTCTGACTGGACCCCCTGTCCCACCTGTCCCACACCACGTCTCTGACTGGACCCACCTGTCCCACCTGTCCCACAACACGTCTCTGACTGGACCCACCTGTCCCACACCACGTCTCTGACTGGACCCACCTGTCCCACAACACGTCTCTGACTGGACCCACCTGTCCCACCTGTCCCACAACACGTCTCTGACTGGACCCACCTGTCCCACAACACGTCTCTGACTGGACCCACCTGTCCCACAACACGTCTCTGACTGGACCCACCTGTCCCACAACACGTCTCTGACTGGACCCCCTGTCCCACCTGTCCCACACCACGTCTCTGACTGGACCCACCTGTCCCACCTGTCCCACAACACGTCTCTGACTGGACCCACCTGTCCCACAACACGTCTCTGACTGGACCCCCTGTCCCACCTGTCCCACACCACGTCTCTGACTGGACCCACCTGTCCCACCTGTCCCACAACACGTCTCTGACTGGACCCACCTGTCCCACACCACGTCTCTGACTGGACCCACCTGTCCCACCTGTCCACAACACGTCTCTGACTGGACCCACCTGTCCCACAACACGTCTCTGACTGGACCCACCTGTCCCACAACACGTCTCTGACTGGACCCCCTGTCCCACCTGTCCCACACCACGTCTCTGACTGGACCCACCTGTCCCACAACACGTCTCTGACCGGACCCACCTGTCCCACAACACGTCTCTGACTGGACCCACCTGTCCCACCTGTCCCACAACACGTCTCTGACTGGACCCACCTGTCCCACAACACGTCTCTGACTGGACCCACCTGTCCCACACCACGACTCTGACTGGACCCACCTGTCCACACCACGTCTCTGACTAGACCCACCTGTCCCATGCTGAAGTGTCTCTTGAAGGACCCAAACAGGTCGTAGATCAGAACCGTCCCGTCCTCCTGACACACAGCAGCTCGTCGTTGACGGACCAGCCCAGGTGGACCACCGGACCGCTCTTCCACTGAAAGACAGGCGGGACAGGTGAGGGACAGGGCGAGGTCACTCTGGGGCAGGGTTGTGTTGGACGCCTGTCCTTACAGGGAAGCTGGTGATGGACGCTCCAGAGGCGGAGTAGATCTCCAGCTGAGGACGAGAGCTGGGGGAACGTCTGAGCGGTTCTCTGAGCAGAGCTGGGACACAACAACACCTTAACAACTAGCGGTAACTGATTGTGTCACCATGGTAACAGACTGAAGACATGAAGCTCGTTGAGCTAAGAGGACCACCAGGCTCCATGTCTCCACATCGTGTTGCCATAGCAACTGAATAAAGTGACAGAGTCCAGGTTGACCACCAGAACCAGAACCCACCGATTGGGCCTCCATACGGAGCTGCTGCCACCAGACTGTCCCTCAGTCCGTCCCGGAGGCTCCAGAACATCTCATAAAGTTCCGTCTTCCTGCAGAGACAGAACCGGGACAGCTAAACGCTAGAACCAGCAGAACCGACCAGACTCTGTTCATTTCTGCTCAGGTTTCAGCTCCTTCCAGGTAACCGGGTCTCTGTGTGACAAACAGAACCGGTCCGAACCCGGATCCTGGCAGGCAGACATCCGATGGTTCCTTCGGCTCTAGTCTGGTCCACAAGAACTCACCTGGAGAGGAGGGAGGGGACAGGTGTGCTGTGTGGCGGAAGCTAGCTTTAGCTTCAGTTTTAGTCATGTGATTAATGTAACCGGCCAGTTCTGTAAACAGAGCAGGTTCGGACCCAGCAGGTTCGGACCCAGCTGCGGAGCGGAGCCCCAGCTGTTGGTGTGCGTGGTACTGACCGGTAGAAAGTGTCTCCCAGCGGGTTCCAGTTAGCGGTGATGAAGGCCATCCTGAGGAGGAGGATGATGATGTGGTCTGGTTCCGAACAGAGGAGCCGGTTCTGCCGTCTGACCAGAACCGAACCGCAGGATGAGGCAGGGGTTCGGCAGCACAGACGGGCTGTAGGTCAGCTGACCTGAGCCTCCAGGACGAAGGAGCCACCGTTCTCAAAACTGAATCACTTCCAGAACCGAACCGCTTTCAGAACCGAGCCACTTCTATTTCCTCTAACACCCTAAAACATAAACCTAAGCTGACCTCTGACCCCTCACCTTTCTTTGATCACGAATTACATCCATAAATCAGATGACTTGTGTTTACTTACTAAGGCTTACTTCCGCGCATGCGCGCATTTTTTTTTTTAGGAACTTTATTGAACAAAGTAGACAACACAACAAAAACAACATAGAAACTGTATATATGAATTGATTTTATATCTATATGAGAAAAAGAGGAACATAAAATGTCTTATCAAGTTACATTTGTGATTTTTTGCATTTGGCCAAAATTATTACATTTATTTGTAAATATTGTAAACATTAGAGCAGAAGTGGGTCAAAGCTTCACAGAAAAACAGTGATAGCAGAAGAAACTTAAATCAGCTGTTCTTCCCTCTGGACTCTGGTTATAAAACAAAGATCCCTGTATATTAGTCAGCAGAACCAGCAGAGGTTCTGGATCAGTGGAACTGGGACACACAGAGGAACTTTAAATAGGCCGTTTTTCCTCAGGACTCTAGCTATAGAAGAATATCTCTGTGTTTTAGTTTTAACAGAATCAGAAGCGGTTCTGGATCAGTGGACCGGGCCGGTTTTCCTCTGGAGTTCCAGCTTGAACACAATTGGAGGAAAGCTGCAGTTTTCCTTCCAGATGACTTCATCTGAAAAACATGGGCGAGCGAGAGACACTGGCGCTCACTGGCTCTCTCTCCTGCCCCATCTCCATGGTAACTGCCCCCTCCCCCTGGGTGTGGTGGAGAGACTGAGCTCCAGGCTGAGGGCAGCAGAGAGAGAGTTTAACCCTTTCAGGGCAGCAGAGCTGAAACCTGCTGCTGTCAGAGGGTTCTGGTTCTGGGTTCTGGTCCAGTGGTCCGGTCCAGACGTCTCTGTGGGTGAAAGCTGTGTGAACAGAGCTGGTGTCTGCAGTGTGTCTCCGGTCGGTCCCGGGGGCAGCAGGGAAGGGTTAAAGGTGTGGACGTTTCCACAGAGGGAAGTTATCTGGAAAGTTTCCCTCCCAGCAGCCAATCAGAGCGCAGCTCTCTGACTGCAGGCGAACACAGTTTGGGGGTTTTCTCCACTACAGGAGACTCTGCTTACACCTCCGTCGACATGGTGACAACCGAGTCCCACCAGGACCAGGACCTGATGGTCCCCGCCGACGCCCCGGACCTGAACCTGAACCTGGACTCGCAGGGCGAGGAGCAGGCCTCTGGTTCTGCTGCCTTCGACCCGGAGAAGCTGGGTCAGGGTCCAGTCAACGCCATCACGGTTCTGACTCTGCTCGACAAGCTGGTCAACATGCTGGACGCCGTGCAGGACAACCAGAACAAGATGGAGGTGAGTGGACGGGTCCAGTTTGAACAGCTGATTAAACCAGAACCAGAGCTAAAGGTGGAGGAACATCTGGACCAGACCCGGGTTGTGGTTCTGCTCCATGTTGTGACACCCTCAGAGCGCTCAGAGTTCCTCCTCAGGAATGTGGACGCCACTTCCTGTTGGTGCAGATCCGAAGGAAGGCGTCACATCCATGCTGTGCATGTTTACCGGAACCACCGCAGGAACGGACCAGACCTTCAGCTGTCAGCGGCTCTTTGATGACTGAGTGGGTTTCGTCTGTACTCTGGGTTCTGGGTGACCCGGTTCTGGGTGTGTTTCAGATGCACCAGGTCCAGATGGAGGGTGTGGTCAGAGGGATCCAGGCGGACATGACCCGGCTGTCCAAGAGTCACAGCCACACGTCCAACACCGTCAGCAAGCTGCTGGACAAGAGCCGCAAGCTGTCCGTGACCATGAAGGAGGTCAGTGAACGCACCAGCACACCTGGATCACCTGGCGGACCATCCACCATGTCCACCATGTCCACCATGTCCTCCATGTCGTGTCTCTGCAGGTCCGGGAGAGGATGGAGCGTCAGGGCGCCCAGGTGAGGAAGCTGGAGGCGAACCACGCCCACCTGATCAGCAGGAACACTTCAAGGTGCTCATCTTCCAGGTAGGTGTAAAGTCACCAGATGCATGCTGGGAAATGTGGTCTCCCGGAGGCTGCCGGGCTGTTCTTCAGCCACTGACCTTATTTGGATATGAGCTGCTGTGGGAGCCGACCTGAAGTCTTCAGAGGGTGGGGGCGGTTTGTGTGGTGGTTGTTTACGAGGTGGAACGGGGGTTGTGGTGGAACCATAACTTGCTGGTCCAGTGTGTGTCGACGAGGTGAAGGTCAACTCCTCTCCTTCTGCCGCCTGCCAGCAACACGCAACATTCCCAGAACATTAGAACATTCCAGACGCAGCTCTCCAGTTATTACAGGTATAAACTAATAATCAGGCCCTAAATCTGACCAGAACATTCGGAATCACATAAAGGCAGTTATAAAGTCAGCCTTCTGTCACCTGACGCCGTTGTGTTTGATGTTTTCCTAATGGAAGCACTTCCAGCTGCCATGTTGCTGACTGATGATTGATTCCTAGAATTCTTCCAAAACATTTCCAGAACCCAGTCTGATTCCTCTGTCTCTGGGTCAATGTGTGTATTGTGGTTTCCTCGTGTCTCTCTGTGACTGTGTCCGGTTGTGACGCGGTGTCTTGCTCTGCTGCAGGAGGAAAACGAGATCCCGACCAGCGTTTTCATGAGGAGCCTCCTCCGTTTCCTCGGGATGAGATCCTGGAGGAAGGCGAGCCGTCTGCTCCGGGTCTCAGCGACGGCAGGCAGGACGGAGAATTCCAGACCATCGACCTGTCGTCTGACGAAGACGTTGGTCTGGAGGCCGACATGGACGAAGAGGAGCCGTGGCCTCAGGATGTGGACGGCATGGAGAAGTCCACAGCGGACAAACTGAAGCGGTCCAGCCTGAAGAAGGTAGGAACCACAGGGAGCAGACTCCAGGCTTTTGACCAGTCAGACAAATGTCATGGTTTCTGTTTCTCTGCAGGTGGACAGCCTGAAGAAAGCCTTCTCCAGACACAACATCGAGAAGAAGATGAACAAGATCGGGACAAAGATCGTTTCAGCAGAACAACGGGAGAAGATCAAGCAGAGAACCGCCAGCCTGAAGGTCTCCCCTCTGACCTTTGGCATCAAGAAGGTACAGAGACTCGCGCAGGTCACTGGATCGTCAGATGGTCCATGAAAGTGTCAGTTCAGACTAAAGATGTTTCTTCTGTCCTTTAGTCTCGCAGCAGCTCAGACTCCCAGCCTCCGGAGGCCTCAGGCCAGACCAGGGAGTCCCTCACAGCCGAGGCCGACGTCCAGCTGCCTCAGCAGGCGGCGCTGAGCTGGAGCTCCCTTCACCGAGGTCCACGCCCAGCTGGCCCCGAATGACCAGCAGGGGGGCTCCAAGACCAGGTGGAGCCGGTAGTGGAGGTCAGGGAGGAAGTAGAGAAGCAGCTGGAGGTTGTGGAGGAATAGAAGGAGGAAGTGAAGGAGGGCTCACTGGTGGTGGAGGCTGACGTGTCGGTGGTCTCTGAGGACTCAGTGAGGCGTAACGCTCTGTCCTCCACCCTCCCTCAGGAGACGGAGTAGAGTAGAGGAGAAGGAGGAGGAGTCCTAAGCAGAACATGAGCGTTAGATCAGACCAATCAGAGGATCAGAGTTTTCTTAAGGAACTCCACTCAGATCGAATCAAAGGTTTTCTGCTTTATTCCTCAAACTCTCCATTAAATGTCAACAATCACATTCTCCCAAAGGTTTTCCAACCTTCTCCTCTGATAAACCTTGGGCCTCTCAGAGATCACACCACCATCACTGGTTCTCATTTTATGATTTATGTTGGGTCCAACCTGACCAAGAAGCTGGTGGATCATGAAACAAGGGAACCTCCAGGGTTTCTGTCCTGCCTAAGAGCAAACGCTGGATCTGCAGAATCCTCCAATGTGTTTCCAGAGTTCCTCAAACATCCCAACCAGGGCCTTTAAATGTGTCCTGATACCTGAAGCCCCTCCCTCAGAGGTTCATCTGATGACCTCCAGTCAGACCTCTGACCAGGTCTCATTCATTGTCTATGATGAACCCTCTGCGGTTGATCCAAGTATTTTAATGTCTTACATTCCAAGGAGTTTTCTCTGTATTTCTTGCATTTCTCTAGAAGTTTCCACCACATTCTATCGCAGATCCTAAAAATCTCTGCCAGACGTTCAGCAGCGTTCCAGCGACCGCTGAGTTGATGTTGCACCAGTGTTTGTTTGTCCTGCTTTACTATCATGTTCCTGGTTTTCCATTTATCAGTTTTCAGTGGTTCTGCTGATATTCAATCAAACATTGTCTGATTATCTCAGAGTTGCTGACGGCAGAAAGGTGAAACATTTCCTGCTTGCTGTCAAATTATTGATAACCTTTGTGATTCCACTGATTGATTGATCTAAAATGGTTCATTTAATGTTTTTTGTTTGTTTCTGCCAAAGATTATTCCTTCTACATCTCATCTCTGGTGCTGATGGGACATTTCTTGTCCAAACGTCTCCAGACTGTGTGAACTTATGGTTTATGTCTTTAGTTTTGCTTTTGGGGCTCAGTGTAATTCGGGCTCCTCTGCTTCACCTCTCTGAAGGCCACCTGCTGGTAGATTGTTGTAAATATTGTTACACTTTTTCTGTTCTCTGCTATAAAAGTTTTAACTCTGTAGGTCAGAGGTCACTCTCTCCTAACCAGAGAATAAACATTATGGTGCTTTTCACCTTATCAATGCTTGTATAAATTCTTTTTTACCACAAAACTCTGCAGTCAATAAACTATCACACACACACACACACACACACACACACACACTGTCTGATGTTCTGGAACCAAAAGTGCTGGATAAATGTTCGAATCAGAGGATCATCTGATCTCTGTGATCAACCAGATCAAGGTGGATCTGAGACTCTGCACTCTGACTCTGGTTTCAGTCCGTTTGGTTCATGGCCTTCATGTGGGAGAGACAGGAAGTGGGGTGGTCTCCTCAGCAGCCAATGACAGTACAGGGTTGGTGATATCAAACCGAAGGACCAATCAGAGTGAGCGGGGAGGTCCAGAGTTGGGTCCAGTCTCTGCAGAACAGATCAGACGGTCCAACTGAAGTATTTATGCAGCTTGCAGGATACTGAGCATTTCCTGTGAAGTACGCAGTCTGGTTCCGGTACCATGAACT